TTCTAAATTTTAGTACAATAACGTGTGTGTGCTGTGTGTGTGTGTGTGTGTGTGTGTGTGTGTGTGTATGTATGTATGTGGGTGGGTGTGTGGTCGGGGGAGAATTTTTGTTGTTTTCCCCTAATTTTTGATTAAATTTAGAGCTGGTCAAAATATTTTAAAGTCTTTATGAAAACTTTGCTTGGAAAGTTGACCAAAAAAAAAAAATCCCAGAGAAATCTCCTGCCACACACAATTTTTACGCCGTTTTTCAACCAGATCTACGTTGTTTCATGTAGTCAACACAAAGTATGTGGGATGCTGAAAAACTTCACTTCAAAAGGTTAAGGCCAGTTGTGTGTCCAGCAAGACTCAGCAGTGCAGGGAAGGGACATAAGTAGAATTGGTCAAAAGTTTTCCAACTGAACAATCGGAAAATGCCGATTCAATAAAATCAAAATGTTTCACAGAACTGTGTTGATTTTGTCAAAATTTTCTATGGGAATGATTGAAAAATTGCATTTTGTTCAGAATATATTGCAGAATCACAGAAATGTAGGGCTGGAAGGAATCTCAAGAGTCATGTACTCCATCCCCCTGTGCGGAGGCAGGACCAAATAAACCTAGACCATCCCTGTCCAACCTGTTCTTAAAAACCTCCAATGATGGGCATCCCACAGCATCTCTTGGAAGCTCATTCCAGAGCATAGCTGTCCTTACAGTTAGAAAAGAATTCGCATTGTGTTATGTTATATACATGATAAAGTCTAAAGAAAATGTTCTGTCCTTCCTGAAATGTTTCTTTTCAAGAAGGTTGTTTTGATATTTCCAAAATGAAATATCTCAGACATTTTCTTTCACAGTCAATTTTTAAATTTCAACTTCCCATTCCAATTTGGAACAAAGACCAATTTTGAAATCTCAGTATTCCCCACAGTTTGGAAATTCCATATTTCAACCAGCTCTAGACATAGGTTATTGATGCTTCTCTACTCTGAAAAGTGATGCTGTAAAATTCTCACTCAAAAAAAGTCTGTTCCTGGGATGTACCAGAGTCAGAGCTGTTCACTTCAATGGCTAGAAAAAAATTGTATTGCATCTTACTCCTGTTAGCCCCATAGAATACAGTTCCAATAATGGGCATGGATCATCAATAATGAATATTATTATTCAGATGTCTCTTTTGTGTTGTATATGGGTAAACAAGGAAGACAAAGCTGGAACTCAAGCAGAATGGAAACTTGTTTGAGTCTATAGTTGTGGCTCTTTAATACATTTTTCCTATTTAAGAAAGACTGATTCTATACATCATGGTGATTCTATACCTCTACAGACCACCAAACCAAGAAGAAGAGGTGGATGAGGGTTTTTTTTTTTAAAAAACTAACAAAATCATCCAAAGCACAGGACTTGGTGGTGATGGGGGACTTCAACTACCCAGACATCTGTTGGGAAAATAACACAGCGGGGCACAGATTATCCAACAAGTTCTTGGAATGTATTGGAGACAATTTTTTATTTCAGAAGGTGGAGAAAGCTACTAGGAGAGAGGCTGCTCTAGACTTCATTTTGACAAATAGGGAGGAACTGGTTGAGAATTTCAAAGTGGAAGGCAGCTTGGGTGAAAGTGATCATGAAATGGTAGAGTTCATGATTCTAAGGAATGGTAGGAGGGAGAACAGCACAATAAAGACAATGGATTTCAAGAAGGCAGACTTCAACAAACTCAGGGAGCTGGTAGGTAAAATCCCCTGGGAAGCAAGTCAAAGGGGAAAAACAATTGAAGACAGTTGGCAGTTTTTCAAAGAGACACATTACTAAGGGCACAAGAGCAAACTATCCCACTGCGTAGAAAAGATGGGAAGTCTCGCAAGAGACCAGCCTGGCTTAACCAGGAGATCTTCAATGATCTAAAACTCAAGAGTCCTACAAAAAGTCGAAACTCGGTCAAATTACAAAGGATGAATATAAACAGATAACACAAGTATGTAGGGACAAAATTAGAAAGGCCAAGGCACAAAATGAGATCAAACCAGCTAGGTACATAAAAGGAAATAAGAAAACATTCTACAAATATATTAGAAGCAAGAGGAAGACAAAGGACAGAGTAGGCCCGTTACTCAGTGCGGGGGGAAAGACAATAACTGAAAATGTGGAAATGGCAGAGGTGCTTAATGACTTCTTTGTTTCGGTTTTCACCAAGAAGGTTGGTGGCGATTGGACGTCTAACAGAGACTGCCAGTGAAAATGAGATAGGATCAGAGTCTAAAATAGTGAAAGAACAAGTCAAAAATTACTTAAAGACAAGTTAGATGCCTTCAAATCCCCAGGGCCAGATGAAATGCATCCTAGAATACGCAAAGAGCTGACTGAGGAGATAACTGAGCCATTAGCAATTATCTTTGAAAAGTCCTGGAAGACGAGAGACATTCCAGAAGACTGGAAAAGGGCAAATGTAATGCCCATCTATAAAAAGGGAAATAAGGACAATCTGGGGAATTACAGACCAGTCAGCTTAACTTCTGTACCCAGAAAGATAATGGAGCAAATAATTAAGCAATGAATTTGCAAACACCTAGAAGATAATGAGGTGATAAGTAACAGTCAGCATGGGTTTGTCAAGAATAAATCGTGTCAAACCAACCTGATAGCTTTCTTTGACAGCGTAACAAGCCTTGTAGATGGGGGGAAGCGGTAGATGTGGTATATCTTGACTTTAGTAAGGCTTTTGATACTGTCTTGCATAAACTTCTCATTAACAAACTAGGGAAATACAACCTAGATGGAGCTACTATAAGGTGTGTGCAAAACTGGTTGGAAAATCATTCCCAGAGAGTAGTTATTAGTGGTTCACAGTCATGCTGAAAGGGCATAACGAGTAGGGTCCCACAGGGATCGGTTCTGGGTCTGGTTCTGTCCAATATCTTCATCAATGATTTAGATAATGGCATAGAGAGTACACTTATTAAGTTTGTGGATGATACCAAGCTGGGAGGGGTTGCAAGTGTTATGGAGGATAGGGTTAAAATTCAAAATGATCTGGACAAACTGGAGAAATGGTCTGAAGTAAATAGAATGAAATTCAATAAGGACAAGTGCAAAGTTCTCCACTTAGGAAGGAACAACGAATTGCACACATACAAAATGGGAAATGACTGCCTAGGAAGGAGTACTGCGGAAAGGGATCTGGGGGTCATAGCAGATCACAAGCTAAATAGGGTCAACAGTGTAACACTGTTGCAAAAAAAGCGAACATGATTCTGGGATGCATTAACAGGTGTGTTGTAAGCAAGACACGAGAAGTAATTCTTCCGCTCTACTCCGTGCTGATTAGGCCTCAACTGGAGTATTGTGTCCAGTTCTGGGCGCCACATTTCAGGAAAGATGTGGACAAATTGGAGAAAGTCCAGAGAAGAGCAACAAAAATGATTAAAGGTCTAGAAAACATGACCTATGAGGGAAGATTGAAGGAACTGGGTTTGTTTAGTACGGAGAAGAGAAGACTGAGAGGGGACATGATAAAAGTTTTCAAGTATATAAAAGGTTGTTACAAGGAGGAAGAAAATGGTTTTTCTTAACCTCTGAGTATAGGACAAGAAGCAATGGGCTTAAATTGTAGCAAGGGAGGTTTAGGTTGGACATTAGGAAAAAATTCCTAACTGTCAGGGTGGTTAGGCACTGGAATAAATTGCCTAGGGAGGTTATGGAAACTCCATCATTGGGGATTTTTAAAAGCAGGTTGGACAAATATCTGTCAGGGATGGTCTAGATAATACTTAGTCTTGTCTTGAGTGCAAGGGACTGGACTAGATGACCTCTCAAGGTCCCTTCCAGTTCTATGATTCTATGGCATAAAAGTATTGTTTAAGAGTAGGAGGGAGTATACAAGTAACAGGAAAGCGTGTGTGGTGAGATGGGAATTCCTGGCACATTGGTGAGGACTCATCTCTCCAGGAGAAGGGATTGGAGCCCCATTACAGAAGTCCAATGGACAATGTGCTTGAGAACAGACTGTAGGGAATGGACCTGAATTGTTCAGGATTGGTACAGGAAGGATGGACGATCTATGATTTATATAGGAATTAGAGGTTGGAAGACCCTATGGATTGATCCTCTTAGTCACTCTTAGCAGTCCCATCTTTAATCAATTCCTAACCCCTCTTTCCAACATAGGGCTCACCCACAGCTCACTGGTGTCAATGGAAGGACTCATGTTGATTTCAATGAGTATTGGATCCGCCCTGTAGCGAAGTATGAGTGTTACGGAGAGGAGAAGACACTTACCTATCTGAGTTGAGTTTGCCATCCTAGAAAGGAAAGAAAACAAGTCACTCTATGGAGATCCCTTGTGATCTGCATCATTATTCACAGGTCAATTGTTACAGGAAATTATACATGGTTTGGTATCTTTGGCTGGGAATTTTCTATCTAGATTATATTTCAATTTTGGTGAAAAGTTTTGATTTTCTATTGGGAAATATTTTGTTTTGGGTTGGTTTGACACAACTTGAAACACTTCACTTTGATGAATTGAATCAAACCATTTTGTTTCGAGTCAGTTTAACATTAAACTGCATCTTCCTAACATGCTTTGATTCCTTATGGGAGTTGTAGTTCAGGTGCCTCATGCCCATGTTCTCCCCTATGGGCCAGGCACCTTGGTTGGACTACATCTCCCATCATGCACTGCATTCCCCCCTCTGACTGAGCCACATGGTGCATCATGAGATGTAGTCCCAAAAGGAGACCAGGCCCATAAGGGAGAATGGGGGCATGAAACACCCAAACTACAGTTCCCATGAGGCACTGCAGTCATCAAAGGCAGGTGCAGTTTAATGTCAAAACTGACTCAAAATGAAATGTTTGGCGATTTCCAAATCAAAATTTTTCAGAAATTTCCATTTGGTGAAAATTTTTTGATATTTTGACTTTTTGTCTCGATTCAAGAGGAAAACAAATATGGAACTATCAAACAGAAATACGGACTTTCACTCGGCCCTACTTCAAACATTTCTAAGGGCTACATGTAGTATCTTATCACCTCCCACATAAAATCAATATACACTGGTGACGTCCCTAGTGGACTCAAAGGGCAGACCCTGAGCTGGTGTAGACCATTGTAGCGCCACTGACTTCAATCCACTCTGACGACCACTAAAGCCCATTCCTGGCACCTACCTCCCTGAACAGCCACAGAATACAATACCTCATAGTCCAGCAGGCAAACAGAAGTGTCCTCTTGTTTAGGGCTGTCCGGCACATCCTCCGTTGGGTCTTCACCACTCACTTGTCTCTGAACCTCAGACGAGACGTTTTCAAGAGGACCCAATTCTGGAGCCAATTCCACTGGGAATAAGAGAGACTGAGACTCAGAACCATCGTTTGTGCCCCATTTAACAGTGAGCTGTTTGGAGCAGGGCCTGTCATTGACACAAAGGGTCCCTGACCTGCTTGGCCTCCAGGCACCAACAGAATCTAAACGTTAAACAATCAATAGGGAAGAGTTCCAGCTCAGTTCATTGCTGTGGTAGAATATTGTTACTATCGGCTCCCGAGGGCCAGTTACTCTGTTCCTGTGTTTGGGGGCGAACAGGGGGCTGAGCATTAAGCTGTCTTTGCACTCCCCGTATTTGGGTTTACGCAGGGGCTGCCCACTGGAGGATTAGATCAGGATATAAAGGGTTACAATAGCTTGGCTAAGGCAAATCCATGCTTTGCAGTTTGTGTGAAGGGCAGGGCCTGTTAGCAGCGGTGAGGAGGCCTTGAAAAAATGTGACTTAGTTGGAAAAATTGGACCTGGAAGGTAATCGATAAGGTAGGAGGAAAAGTCTTTGGACTGCTCTAGGCTATGGTCTGCTCCCCATGGCCTCTGGGGAGCAGAGAATTGCCAGAGTACATTTTGGCCACATCCCTGATCTGCCCCCTGCTCTGGAGGCTGGGAGCAGGGCTGGCTAAAGCCTCATGCCAGCTCCACATTGGCTGGGGATTCTCAGAGGGCTATTTCTACTCCATTGAAGGCCGCTTTAAGCTTTATACCAAGGCTTGAGCGTGACTGGGAATCAAACTCTCAGTGATCACTACTGGGAACCACCCTCGCAAATATTTTAAAATTCAAAGAGTCACCGGGAATACTTACCTTTTATTAATTATTAGTAGTAGCAGTAACATTACCGTTACAACTTTACCTCTGAAATTCTTCAGCAGACCATGCAGAACTTTCTGGCTTTCCGAGAGAGCCAACACACTACTCTCCAGTTCAGTCAAAGAATCAACAGGCGCCTCCTCTTCCCCTTTCACCTGCTCACACCTAACGCAGAAAGAACGAGGTTCCTGTTGGAATGCTCGATCGTAATTGCTGAATTCACTCAGCGGGAAGACAGGACACGGGGGCGAGCACAAGCTCTGAGCATGCTGGCCCGGTATGTTATTTAGAACATGTAACAATGTGAAGTTGGGAATTAAAAGGAACATGGAACATGAGGATTCCTCACCTGGGGCCCTCTTGCTCAACCCCTGCCTGGGCCTCCTGTCCTCAGTTCAGGGCCACTAGATGCTCAAGATGGTGATCGTTATTGAGCAGACTGTTCACCCCGTTGTCCCATATCATAAGACTAGTATTCAACCCCACAATAAGCAGCATCTTCATTCCTAGGATTCCTACTTTGGAGGAAAAACCAATTTCTAGGAATGGGGGTTAGGGAGGGAACTCCCTCTAGGGCAGGTTATCCCATAACTGGCCACTAGGGGGAGACTTGCATCTCTCTGTGAAGTAGCTGGCACTGGCCACTATCAGAGACAGGATACCGGGCTAGATGGGCCTGTGGTCTGATCTGCTCTGGTAATTCCCACGTTCCTGTGATGCTTTCCCTGTTCCATCCTCTTAGCCATGAGGAGGATGAGGTGGGAGGGGCATTATACATTCCCAGCTGGGCTTTGCACCCTTTCCCCAATGTGATGAAGCATGAGGCTGACTAAGGAGACACATACCTGCTTAAGGTGCTGCCAATGTCCTAGAAAGGGAAAAGGAAACAAAAAGAAACTCAGCTCATCGGCCACAAACCTGAAATCTCTCTTAGGCAGAAGACTCACTCTGCCTTTATTTTTGATTCCTATAGGAAGTTGGGCATGTTTGGAAACTTCATACGTAGCTCTGTTCTCTTCCCAGCTCTGCCAGTGCCCTGCTGGGTGACCTTGGGCAAGTCACTTCCCCTCCCTGTGCCTCAGTTTCCCCATATGTAAAATAAGGATAGTGCATTTTCTCATTTTCAAAAGTGATTTAAGTACTTAGGAGCCTAAATTCCATGGACAGTTGGACATTTTTTTGACTGGTCTTACCTTGAGCAGTTCAATCCCCGGCTGCTGGCACTTCTGATTTATCTCAGCTATGCAATTATCGAGAAGTAATAGCCCCTTAGTATTTTTATTCCTCGTCTTCCCAAGGTCCTGTATCATGCCTTCCAGGCAGTCACATAGGAGATGCTCTCCCTGCTTCAAAACCTGGCACACTTGCTTGAATTCAGACAAACTCTCCTGCTTCTGGCGTTCTAGCTGTTTCTGTCATGAACAGATATAAACGGGGCCGTGACATAAAGTGTAACAGGATTCCCAGGTCCCCCTTCCCAGTAGCAACTGCATTTCAGCTGTGAGCGACTGGCCCCTGTTAAGACAGGGCAGAACTCTGGGGGGCAGATCCTACATCTGCATAGCCCTCTGGCCCTTACACATCAAACTGGAACCAGTCTCACTTGGAGGTGTCTAAATACAGTTTTCAGCATAAGGTGCCTACCTGTGCGATTCTTCTAGGGAACCTAGATCCAAAGGAGAGGGAATTCGAAACGCACTTATGAATTAGACCCCCATCTTCCACTGAAGGTACTTTTGAAAACTTTTACCTGTACTCTGGCCCCAAATCCCCAGTCCCAAGATTTTCAAAGTAAGAACCTAAAATTGGGCTCCTAAGTCCATATTTCATAGAGCGAGCTGGGAACTGTAATTTCCATTCCATGGGAAATTCTGACATTTTAAAAAAATCCATTCTGAATGGGAACGAAAACCCGAAATTTCAAAATTTCCTATGAAACAAACATTCTGAAAAACTGCGTTTTGACAGTGTCGGTTTGACGCATTTACTTTTGATTTGAATATTATTTAAATATTATGTACCTGTATTGTACAGGGGCCAGGCAGGGAGCTGAGGGGGCAGGATGAAGCCGTTCCTCATGCCAGGTGAGGGCAGCTGAGCTAGCCAGAAATGTGCCAAGCCAGAAACATGCAGAGGCTGGGGGGGGCTCCGGCTCACGCGGCCCCTGTCCCCAGCAGCCAGGCCTGTGTGGGGAGTGGGCCACCGCTGCCTCCCCAGCCAGGTTCTTTTGCAGACAGACACTGCATTGCACAGAGGCAGCGACCCGGAGTGACCACCCTCACACGGTGGGAGAAGTAGCTCCATCCTTCTCCCTCTGGTCCCCACCTGGGCCTGACTGCCGGGGACCGAGCCGGAAATGTACCAAGGGAAGGTGCAGCGGGAGAAGGACAAATCCTCTCTCTCCGAAACCCCCTGCAGGTAACTCCGGAAGGAAGAGTGCAGCGCCCTTAGGATGGGTGCAGGGTGGAGGGTCACTGGGGAAGGTGCTGGGAGCAGGGTCCCTCTGCTCAGCCAGAAGTAAGGACGTTGCCTGCACCTCTCGCCCTGCTGAGGTGTCTGTAAGGGCACAGGAGCTCAGGGGAGACACTTATCAGAGGGGGAGCCGTGTTAGTCTGAATCTGTAAAAAGCAACAGAGGGTCCTGTGGCACCTTTGAGACTAACAGAAGTATTGGGAGCATAAGCTTTCGTGGGTAAGAACCTCACTTCTTCAGATGCAAGTAATGGAAATCTCCAGAGGCAGGTATATATCAGTGTGGAGATAACGAGGTTAGTTCAATCAGGGAGGGTGAGGTGCTCTGCTAGCAGTTGAGGTGTGAACACCAAGGGAGGAGAAGTTTTTTTGCTGTAAGATGGCTACCTTTACATCTGCTATTGTGTGGCCAGGGAGGTTGAAGTGTTCTCCTACAGGTTTTTGTATATTGCCATTCCTGATATCTGACTTGTGTCCATTTATCCTAGGATAAAATCCTAGCAAAAAAACTTCAGGACCAGACTCCAAAGAGAAACTGCTGAGCTCCAGTTCATTTGCAAATTTGACACCATCAGATCAGGATTAAACAAAGACTGTGAATGGCTATCCAACTACAGAAACAGGGAATATTATTAACACTGGCGACTATTAATGATCAGGATGAAGAGTGGACGCTTACCAGTAGAGTTTGACATTTCCCTTCTTCAGCAGCTGCCCGTCTCCCTCGCTCGTCTCTCACACGCTGAAAATGATTCCGATGACTCAGAAGTTGCTCCTGCAACAATCCCAAAGAAATTACTTCAGCTTTAAAAGTGACCTTAAAAACTTGTCAAGGATTTGTGTTTTAATTGGGCGTGTGCCCCACACTGCTTCTTTATGATGGATAAAGAAAGCCTGGACATGGAGGGAGATTTTTTTTGGGGGGTGGATTTTTTTTTTGGAGGGGGAGAATAGAAATATTAGGTGGGGGCTTCCTTTGATGGGGTGTTCAACCCACACTTGCCCTGAAGGGTGCCAATTAGCCAGACAGGCTCAGCTTACTGAATAAGGAGGGATCCCCACTGAGCAGGAAAGGGCTGGGCTTATAGCAGACAGGGGGCTGCAGGGAAGGAGTCTGCAGTCACTCCCGGGGAGAAGGGTGGGGTGTTTGGGGGCTACAGGGCCAAAGCAGCCTCCAGTTACTCGCTGGCAGAAGAAAGTTTTGGGGAGCCAGAAGGTTCGGAAAGGCAGGAAGGTCCAGAATGGAACGGACCTTGGTTGCTGATTAAAGGGGCCCTGAGCTGGAACCCGGAGTAGAGGGTGGGCCCGGGTTCCCCTCCCGGCTACTGGGGAAGTGGCACTGGCTGGGCAGCGAATGGGAAGGCAATAAAATAAATATATATATATATATATATATATATATATATATATATATATATATATATATATATA